AGAGCACTTCTCCCCTCGAAATTTTTTCTACTTGCTTAAGAAGAACGATACTGCTTTCTCATCACACCAGTATCCCCTGAATTCACCCACCTTACAGAGAGAACTGTGCAAAGAACTAACACAGGAATTAAGAATGTAGCACCATTTGAAATAATCACTCTATCCAAATCTGAAAAAAAAACTTCATTTATCCTTATCCAACATAGTTTGACATTCAGCAGCCTAATAATACAGGGTAAGGAGAGCTCTCATAGCAGTACATTGATAACATTCATAATGGTCATGCGTATTACAATCAGAAGTTTTCTAGGGTGCTGTTTGCAATGTAAGCCTTCATGCAGACAGGCATTCAGCTCAGTAAATCCATTTTCGTTTTTCCTATTAATCCCTGAGAAGTTCCTATATCTACCTACAATATGGCTATTAAAGGCATTATAATAATCACACACTTAACTGTGATGAAAATGCAGCGTGGCTTTAGGGAGAAGCAGCACAGAAATTACAGCAAATTAGCAGTGATGAATACAGATCTTATTTCTAAAATGCTTTTTTTTTGCATAAGCAAGGTTGCCAAGAGTGACACAAATTATTTGAGTCATGGATATAAAACTAGCCAGAGCCACTTACCCTTAATAAGTCGCTACTATGAATCCAAGACACTGGGGCTCTGAGACCTTTCTAATAGAGCATTTCCTTTACATAAAATCATCTGGATTTTGACCTAATGTAGGGTCATCATGATTCTTCTTTTAATTACTCAACAGCAGTGCTGGTTTGGGTTTTTTTTGTTTGTTTGTTTGTTTTTGTTGGGGTTTGTTTGTTTGTTTTTTGCTTAACAAGTCTTTTGCCTCTTCAGTTAAAGTGATCTCTTTAAATTGTTCAGAATTTAAATGGGTTTTTTTGGTGACAATTTGCATTATTGCCAGCTGCTCAAAAACCATAAGGTATGAGTCCCAAAGCAAGGGGACCAATTTAAACTTAAGACTTCAGGGTGGGGTGTAGAGGGAAGGGAATAAAGACAAGTTCTTTTTCTTTGCCTTCTGGCTTCTGAACAGTAGCAGATTGCATTTTAAAGCTCTTTCCTACAATCTTCAGAGCTAAATAATGACTTTTAGGGAAAAAAAAAAAAAAAAAAACACAACTGACTTTTAAGTAAGTACGTATCTCAAAGATAGAGTATTACATTTAAATACCACAGATTTGAGGTTTACAAAAAATATAATTTGACAAATTGATTTTGAGATTATAATTTACATTGAAGTGCCATAAAAAGGTTTTAGAATCTACTTGGGTTTGAGTATTGGGAGTAATTTTGGATTTGCATACGTAGTTTATTAAAATTACTCTGAGCTATTACAAAAAAATATTACTGACTTTCCGTAATCTCTCTCCATAAACATTTTTATTTCTGGTAAATTTTCCCAATCCCAGTTTAAACTTCAAGGCATAGCTATTTATCAGTAGATAAGATTTACAGAATTCTTCACATAAGGCTTTCTGTCTGACCTTTCTCTCTCAGAACTTATTCATTCTACCTATGACTAAAATATTATTAAGTTCTATTATATCCCAGTAAGAAAGAAATCCTTATTGGCCATGTAAAGACCACTATAACTAAAAACAATAATCAGCTTTCACAGGGAACCATCGATGATTTCATCATTAGTTCAGGCCAAAGGCGAAACAGACGTAATTAGTAATTAGCATCGTTTTTTAAATTATGAGTATCAAGCAGGTACCTAACTCTTACTACTCCAGGAAATTGGGAATTGATAAGATTATTTGTAGTAACTGCTGAATTTCAAGAAGCTGAACAAGTTATTGAAATAAAATATTTATTTTAGCGAAGAGTAGGCTATGTCCTACTATAGCTTCTGGCCTGCTCAAACTGTTGCAATTTCATTCTTTGCTGACTGGACAAAAATGTTACATGTCTTGTCACTCGCATACAAAATAAATAGAATCAGTATTTTAGAAACAACATAAAAGAAAAAGCCTGATGATTACTGCAGGCATAAAATAGTTGATTAAAGTTCCTTCCGTGTTCAATTTTTATCACTGTATATAACGAACAGGACTGTTAAGAAAACATCTGATAACGTTCTTACTAGGTGAGTGAGTGTACTACCTCATCAGGAAAGTACACTTTTGAGCAAAACTCATCTACCAATATTTCTGCAGTTTCTCAAATTTCCTGGTTGTATTTTTAGTCACAGAATTATAGAATCGTTTAGGTTGGAAAAGACCTTTAAGATCATCGAGTCCAACCATAAGGGGATGTGGGTCGGGAGGAGACTGCAGGCAGGTCTCGAAGCTTTGTCCTGTTGGAGACACTGTTCTAATAAAACATCAGCAATGCTTTACGAGGCAAGTAGTCCAGCCTCCTTGCTAAGGGATTTGACTTTATTTGCTCAGAGCTCTGCTTTGGACCCTTGCAGTATAATTCTCTAGATAGAAAGTCATTGTTAAAATACAGAAATGCCTGATAACCGAGACTGCAGATGCACCTAAAAGTAGCCAAGATCTTAACCAGCACTTCTGCTTGTGTGGAACCTTTACTAATGAGATATTCTTTGTGAACCTGCAAGGCAGACTCTATTCACTGCTCTGGTTCCAGAACACATTGCACTCAAATTAGCTTTATTGTAGGTAGGTTGGGGTGCTGCTGGCAAGGTAGTTGTGGTATCACAGAACATAGTACAGGAAATTCGGGTAGTAAACTAAGGCAAATAGCTCACACAAGATGTGGTATGAATGCTGCGAACACATAAACCATGTCCAACCTATCACTGCACACTAATGAGCTACCAGTGAAAAACTGCATTCATAACACAAACCTGTCTCTTCAGTCAACTGAGAATTTTGGTAATAAAATCTAGGCCTTGAATGAATCAATAAGCAATTTCATTGAAAACTGACAGTTGAAAAAATCAACACACATTTCTGGTCATTGGTATTTATCATCTATCATTTCTGTTCAGGTCCAACCTCTCCCCTCCACCTCCAACCTCCACAGCCTCAACCACCAGCAGTGTCAAGCTTCTGGCCTCCCTCTCGGGCTGAAACTGGTCGGAGACTGTAACTAATACTTCTGGATGGAGTCTACAAGGAGTGCTGCAGACCCATATTTGTACTGAAGAAGAAGCTGAAATTGATTTTTAAAAAATTATAACTGGTCACTTGGGAAAGAAATTGCTGTGGGACCCAGAAGACTGTGGCAGCATAAAACTGATAATTGTTAATTAAGAATCATATTCCATCAAGTCAAAGAAACACACTTGTGTGAAAAGCATAGCTGAG